CAGCAGATGGACGGACGGACAGACAGACAGACAGACAGACAGACAGAGACAGACCGACCGACCGACCGACCCCTAAACAATTCAAGATCTGGTTACCTAAAAGAAAGTCATCAAGTTTATTAATCCTGTTCTCCACTCCTCAGCCTGCAGATTGCTGTTTGGTGGCCACATGAAGACAGGCCTTCTTTAAAGTGACAACTATCCAGTAAAATTACCTCCCCTCTGTATACGTCACGCTCCAGTGCTGATGTACTTTAGGCAACTTTTTAAACTTTCCTTTTATGTCAACCTTCACATAAACCCAGCACAAGCCAAATCTTTATGTTTACCTTTTTTCAACTGTTTATATTATCTTTTTACTGCCTTTTTAAGTCCTATTTTCTGTTCTTATCTCACTCTAAAAATGGTAAATGATTTCAAGTTTTTAAAATAAATGCTACATAATTTTTTTTAAACCTAAAATAGTAAAAGCCACAAATCGATTATATATCTACCAGCAATTTTCTGTTCTTGCATTCTCTGCAACAGATTCATCTTCTATCAGTGTATTTAATTTCTAATACTAGAATTCCTAGTCTACGCATATTAGATCATCAGTGCTGAAATGTAATTATAATGCACTTTTAATATTTGTTTTAATATCATGAATTCTTTAAAGTGAAAGCCCAGATATTCCAGAAGAAGAGGAATTCTTTTATAGGCCTGTGATTATAGCCCAAAAGTCTACTCATCTATAGCAAAGTCAGTTCTAAAAGATGTTTGATTGGAACTTCAGGGTGAATTACATACCTGTTATTTCAAAAGTGATGGATAGAAGTGGAGCAGCACTAGTTTTTGATATGCTCTGGGTCTGACTTTCTGAAAAAATGTGGACAAAGATTTCCATGAATACCAGAGAAGGAGGGGGTCTAAAGCAGCCCAAGACACAATATGCTGTATTTAACCCATAGCTTATGCTGGAGGTATGAGATTCTCAATGGAACAGTAATGCATTTACTGTTTTGCTGCCATGCCCTATTTAGGCACTCTTCCCCTTCCAATAAGACATAGAGAAATCCCATTATAATTATCTCTGATGAGAATGTCCTGCTCCCTGCAGTATTGTAAATTTAATCTTTCTCTTTTTATTAGTTGGAACTCTAAGGAAATAAAATGTTCCTTTGTGTAAGCAGTCAATGATTTCTTATATTTTAAAGGGTCTTTTTGTTTGCAGAAATTAAAGGCCAAACAGGCTTCTGTTTTTCCTATTACATTCCAATAAGGAGAGATTTTATTCTAACTGATGCAAAGAAAGAGGTCTCAAACTATGGAAATCCAGATACCCACATTAAAATGAACTAATTCCTTAGAACATTAATTTCTCCCAGTAAAGGGACTGTTCAGTTGTTGTTTTCAAATATTCTGTATCATCCCATTACTATTGGGTAGAAATGTGTCACCCTTGCAAGCAAAAAATACCGTATTTTGACCTAAATTACTGTATTAAAAATGAAAGTTAGCTAGCTAGTCTTCTTAAGTTATTCCTCCAAGTACAGTATATCATGAATGATATGTAGATGGGTTGGATTGTGGGTGTTTCAGATAATTCAAAGCTGTAGGCTAGAAGGATTGATTAAAGTTTGAATTTTATAAATTATTTTAAAATGTTAAAGGAAAAGCAAAGCATAATATGATACTATATGATTCTTCCCTACTACATAGACCAGACTTCACATTCCTAGCATTCTCCCAATATATTGGGACTGTATCCTCCATGAATTTTAGGATTTTCATTGTATGTCTAGCACATTTGAACGTACCAAACTTGGGGAGGCTGACTTTTTTAGAAGTACAAACACCTGCAACATTCTCTTGTGTGATTCCCCACAAAAATAAACGGGGATCATTTATTGAGTTGTGATGTGTTTCTGCAATTCTCATTTCAATGTGTGTGTGTGAGTGAGTGTGAGTGTGAGATTAATTCCAAGCCCTCACGCATTCAGGTGAATGCCTGGAGAGGGCTAAAGGCTAGTTCTAAAACGTGCAAAAGCTGACAGAACTGAAAATTTCAATTTGGGCAACCAAGCAATATCTACCACTACACATGAGAGGAGCAGGCAGGTTGCAGTTGAGAGAAGGTCCACTGAGAGAGTATGATTTGCCTACAGCCTATTTCTTGAATTCATGGCAGGCAGAAGTGTCTGCAGGGTGAGGTAAAAAAAGTCAAGATGGCAGGCCACAATGGTGCAATCAAAGCTCTAGCTGTTTTTTATATGCAACACATAAAGAAACAGGGAGAACTTTGATCACCCCAGTGTGGGCATCATCTTAACATTTTTACCATGCCCTATGGATATCCCTGATGGCAGGCAAGTTCATGTGAACCATGAACTTTCTGATTCATCCATCGCTAACATTCTTAATCACAATGCTACAGGTTTTCACGAATGTCAAAGGTCAAAAAATATATTTTAAAAATGAAATATAGTTTTAAAAGAATGATAAAACGTTATGTTAGAAAATTCAGCTCCCATAATTGTGAGATAAGCATACCTTTTTTTTCCTTGAGTGTATTTAAATAAGAGAGGAGATTTTCATTTGATTGCACACAATATACTTCCCGAGTCTGAATTCCACCTCCACAAAGAGATGTTTGATTTCCTCGCCTTTTATCCTGTTGGCTAAGTAAAGGGTCAATGCGACATTCTGTCCATTCTGTGGTTCTCCAGCCATATCTAAACAACAACAATAATAAAAAAGGCAAATTCATAATGAAACTGCATGGAGAATTCTTACAGATGGATGGCTCCTAATATTACTAATCAAATGGCTCTCCTGACTTCACAACTGTTATTTTTTTACTGATAAGAAAAAAGGATGGAAGAAGTAATAGGAAAACATGAAAGATTATAAATGGAAGTCATCATAAAAGGCACCCTCTAAAGCTCCACAGATAGGGAAATTGTATGATAATACTCTCATTTAGAAACATATGCCAATTTAGTAACATAAATTATTTTTGTTTTAATTATTAGGACAATTGAATTTTTAAAATTAATTATAATAGATTGCCACATTATAATTAATTAGTGGAACTGATTAATTAATTAAACTGAATGTAGATCGTATTGAAATTACTTGCACATATTTGGAAGCCATAGGACAGCTGTGATATTATTTTGGCCTCAAATACTTTTAGACCACCAGATATATAATTACTTCCTACCATGTAAAAAAAATCTTAATACGGTAGCTTTACTTCTTCTGATGTTCCCTTTTAGGAACTGAATTTGGGGTTGAAATGAATTTGGGGTTGAAATTTTTCATTGGGCATGAAAAACAATTCCAAGGTATTCAAAGGCCTGAACTTGTTCAATACCATTCCCATTTATAGGTTGTCACATTATAATTAATGTAAAATTAATTAATTATAGTTTAATTAATTAAATTGAATGCAGATTCTATTGAAATGACTTGGGTAACTAAGTCAAGAAAAGTCCTAATAATTTCAAATAGGAATTATGTGCAAATAGCAGTGCAATTTTGTGCTGAATTTCTTGATGTTCATTTATCACAGTAGGATATGAGTGAACTTCCATAAGATTACATGATTTTATCTGGATAAAACCTAATATTTTCTTTTATTTTAAGAAGATTTTTAACCAAATTAGAGATAATTGTTGAAAAAATAAATATATCATTATTACTACGACTACTACTATGAAATTTCTGCTAGGAAAGGAAACAAAATTCTGGGTCTGTACAAGCTGAAATCATAATTTGAAATTAAAGGTTGGTACCGAAAATAAAATAATATCCAAGATACCTATGCTCTGAAAATGTTAAGAGTTGATTGAAAAATAATTTAAAATCTCTATGTCCCTTTGATAAGTGACTTATATACCAATTTTTACACATCTGTGCATGTCTTTAATTTTTCTTTTGAAATACTTGTCCTTCCATAAGGAACCACCCTCTATTTCTCTTTGCTGAAGTGCATATCCCTTTTTCTTTGCCAAGATGATGACCATTTCAACAGAATGCTCATACTGAGTTTAGCAGTACTGAGCCCTGATGAAAGACAAGAACCCGTAAGCTTCCTGATCAGCCAGTGCACAAGAAGATTTGCAGTAAGTTAAATCTCAATCATCCTTGTGAAGTGAAAGATGCCACAAAATACTTCAGAAGAACTTGAACTTGATATGCATTCATTAGGGCTCAGTACTGCTGAACTCAGTATGAGCATTCTGCTGAAATGGTCATCATCTTGGCAAAGAAAAAGGGATATACACAAAATACTCTATGCAAGGAATACTTTACCAAAATATCAAGAGATATTTCCTCAGGCCACATTAGAGAATAGCATTTATTTTCTCCCAAGGGACAATAATTGTACCCCTAAGCAAATTATAAATTATACAATATGTGGTAATTATTCTGTATTACAAATCAGAGAAGGAAATTGGAAATGATTACCTTACAAGCAGAACTTGAACCAAGACCTGCTATACATTATTCTGGTACTATGGAAGCTGTAGCAACACTATTTCTTCCTGAACCACAGGATAGTTTTAAAAAGCTTCAACAACATGGGAGAAGTTCATGAAGAAGATACATACATGCCTGTATTAACAGCACAGAAATCCTAGGCTCTTCCCAGTATTTATTAAACTGAAATGTGGACTTGGAATTCTCACATTACTCAACTAGTGTATTAAGCAAAGGTAGTGCATATGCACTCATGAAGCCAGAATAACATGAGCCTCAAGGTTATGTAATGCTAAAGAACTTGAGATATATTAATACTTACGTGATACAAGAAGTCACCCCATCTCCTTGAGTTACACACTGCTCTGTCTCTTCTAGCTTTGGACACTCACTTTTGCTGCCGATAGGAAATTGCTTGATTGTCCGTGTTCTTGTACGATAACCTTTAGGGGATGTCATATCAAAACACGTTTTGGAACATGGGCTCCATTCAGACCATTCTGACACCTGGCATTCCTTTGTGATCACACAAGATTGGAATGTAATTGGCAACTTCTCTTGTTGACAAAAGCTGTAAAAGAACATTAGAGTCCTCAAAAATGCATTAATTCATTAAATTCCTATGAGTATATTGTATCCATTACCTCATAAAATTTGTATGATTACTACAATATCTATATCTTCAGAGAAATGTAGGTTTCTTCACAAAACCAGTTCCCACATGCTTTTTTTTAATCATCAAAACTGATTCCAGGGTTAGCTAATAAGCATCTATATAATTAATTCCTTTGATCATATACTGTAATTTGATTTCAGTATCAGTCCAATGTCAGTCACACCAATGATAAGACTAAGGGAACTTCCATATCACTGCTATGTGCTACTTTGGTGAAAAAAAAGGAGGGGGGATAAAAATATGTCAGAAAGCATACACTGGTGTAATCTAGGTTGTTATGCATGCATAGGAAAGTAGAAATCCATGATTTGGTGACAGTTGCATTTCATACTCCAGTAAATGTAGTAATAGAAGTTTTGGAAAAATTCTTAACTTTCTTAAGGAATGTGAACCAGGGGAGAGATAATTCTTCTAGGGGACATGACCAGATGGCTCTCTCATCACTGGATGAGGAAATTCAGAAAACAGATGACTGGGTCATTTAGAGACCCAAAATGAACAAAAATGGTGACTGCTTGGTAACTATCTGTGTGGAATAAGATTTGTTTTGAATATGTGGTTTAAATTTAAATCTATTCACATGTACCCTTGGCAAAGGAAAGACTATATATCTGAAAGCATGATTGTTTAATTGTTTATGATGAAAATTAGAAAGATGCAAGGTTGATGAGATGTACTGAATATGGGTCACAGCATTTTTTGGAAGTGACAAAGATCAATTTTGAGAAAAAATGTACACAGAAGAAAAGGAAAGAGGAAGAGGAAAAGAAAGTGAAAAAGAAAGGAAGGAAGGAAGGAAGGACAGACAATGAGTCCTGAATGAAAATATACTAAGATAGATTAATCTAT